GTTCTAAAGGTACCACTGATAACTGTTTCTATTAATCATCATTCATGTTTGGAGTTTCTCAGTAGACTTTAGACTACATAAGATGTTCTAAAGGTACCACTGATAACTGTTTCTATTAATCATTATTCATGTCTGGAGTGTCTCAGTAGACTTTAGACTACATAAGATGTTCTAAAGGTACCACTGATAACTGTTTCTATTAATCAGTACCTTGCTGTTCAATGATATAATTAATGTAGAACTAAATTGATACTGAGGTTAAAATACTGATGTTCGTACAGAAATAAAACTTTAAAATTCATATCCTACGTGTTTCACTAATTCTGCATTTAAGAGCGAAAACTCACCCGACCAACAAGACTTTCTGCACTGCCAATTATTTCACCGTATAACCTCTCTGTTTCCAGAGTTCGTCTTACCGGTGAGTGGTGGAACTGACGTCCTGAAAAGTAAAATATTTTCAATGAGACTCATTTAGGTTTTTAAGCACAGACTGTCATGTATACCAAAGATATTCACAGGGTGATGGTAATAGTACTTCAAGTTGTAACAGGAAAATAGGATATATCACTTAAGTACATGTAATAAGCCAACTTGAAGGTCTCCTCAAAGTATCTCTCAAGATTTTTCATTTTATTCCGTGTTATCTATACAAAAAAAAATCAGTTAAGAACATTTTTTTATTCTATATAAATGCTCATTTGATGAAAAGAAACTAAGAGTGGATTCATAAAAATGTTTATACATGTTGTTGTGGGACCTGCTCACCATGGTAAGAGGCTCGATGAGTTGGTATGAAATATGAAGCTTCCCTAAGAAAACCTCTACTTCTTTTAAAGACTGATTTATGCCCAATTTCTCCATCGGGTGCTATCCCAGCTACAGCCATTGCTGGCAGCTGAGCTAGTCTTAGTGAGGCAGCAATGTGACTGAGTGACCGCTGATCAATTTGGTTATTACGATTTTGTTGTTGACCAGGTAGTCTGTCACTATCAAAAGGATGCTCATGACTGTCCTGTTTGTTTAGGCAAGGCAGACGAAAACTTCCACCTCTAGTGATGAACTTTCGAGGGGGAGGGGTTGGAGGTCGGGGTCCCTCCTGGTCTTCAGAATCACCTAATGAAAGACTAAGCAACCCATACATAATGTTATAATGAGAAAATGCTCAAATTAACATTAATGTGCTGATGTACTTTTATTATATAAAATAAAAACACATCATTTAACTGGGAGCTGTGTATATTATTATAAAAATGGAAGACATTTTCAAGTCTCATTAGCTTGGATATTAATAAATCTTCTAAAATGTAAATATCGAGCTAGATGAATATTCTAAAAAACAGGTACACGTAAGACTGAAATTATATACTGCCTGTTTTATGCAATGTTTCTAGTGGTGAGAAATTCATTTAAACTCCATGCTGAGGTATGTTTTTATAAAAAAACAACAGAATATAGAGTCTGAAACATTGTCTAACACAAGAACCAAAATACATATCTTTAAGAAACTCTGCCTGAAAAATACTTTTGTTCCTAGAATTCAAATTAAGCAGACATGTGGATGTATTTAATGGAGCATTTTTAAATGTATTGTTTAAATTAGCTGAAATATATAAGAAAATACCTCAAACTAAACTATATATATATATTGGATCTAAAGGTTTGTTTATGTAAGTTAATCAGAAAAAAAGAGAACTGACTTATATATTGAGTGTAAGTTCATTTCTGACAACATATTACCATTAACAATATTTCTGACAACATATTACCAGTAACAATATTTCTTACAATATGACACCAGTAACAATATTTCCTACAACAAGATACAAGTAACAATATTTCT